ACTCATGCCTTTAATCTCAGGAAGTGATGGCAGGAAGCAGAAAGGTATTTAAGGCATGAGGATGAGGAACTATAGCCTGGTTAAGCTTTTAGGCTTTTGAGCAGCACAGTTCAGCTGAGAGGCATCCAGTCTGAGGAAACAGGATCACCTGAAGAATTGGCAAAGTGAGGTGGCTATGGCTTGTTCTGCTTCTCTGGTCTTCCAGCATTCACCCCCATACCTGGCTCCAAGATTTGATTTTATTAATAAGACCTTTTAAGATTCATGCTACAGCAGTGAGCTGTGTCCTCCCACTTCGGTAGTTGGGTCAAAGCAGCTTAAGGAAGAGAGGGTACTTTAGCTCAGAAGCCTAAGTTACAGTCTATCACTGCAGGGGAGTCCAGGCGGGAACTTGAGCAGCTAGTCACAGTCAAGAGCAGAGACACGGCCTGGAGAGATGGCTCAGTGGTTCAGAGCACTTGCTGCTTCCTCATGAAGACCAGAGTTTGCCAGGAACCATGGAAGGCAGCTCATGCACACCTGGAACTCCAGCCCCGAGGGTCAGCACTCTTCTAGCTTCTTTGGGCACCTGCACACACATGTGTGCATACATTCAAGAACACACACACACACACACACACACACACACACACACACACACACACACACACCCCAAAACAAAACAACATGGGGCTGGAGACATGGCCCCAGTGATTGTTCTCGCACAGGACGGTGTTCTGTTCCCAGCACCCACATGGTAGCGCACAACCATCTATAACTCCAGCTTCAATGGATCCAATTCCTTCTTTTGTCCTCTGATGGCACCAGGAATGCACATAGTGGACATACCTACCTATCTACCTACTGACATACATGAAGACAAAACACTCATACAAATAAAATAGTGGTGCTACCCTCTTTCAGACTGGGTCTTTTCCGAATCAATTAAAGCAATGAAGATAATCTCCAGAAGATATGACCACATGTGTTGTTGTTCAGGGAGGCCTCAGAGTCTCTCACAATACAGCTCCCTGTTATTCCTCTTGGGTGCCCACCAGAACTAGTTGACAAGATCCTGTTGCTGAAGACATCACACGCACACACAAGAAAAGTGACAGAGAAATCAAACTGGAACTGAGAAATCAAATCTGCTGGCCAGTTTTCATAGTGCAGGAAGGTGCAATGTAGGCTGCCAGGAGAGGAAAAGCATCAATGGTCTCACCCAGCTGAGAGCCCTATGAACTAAATAACTTACCAACCTTCCAGCTAAGATGTGCCTACTAATGCAATAGTGCCATGACCGTTACCGGGCAAACCAAATACTCTCTGATAGGTTTTGAGGCCTGCTCCACAAGAGGGAATTCACACCTGGCATTGTAAACTCAGTTAAAAACCTATGGCCAAGGAGGTGATATGTCCTAGATGGGACTTACTACTACTGTTTAGCTAAATCAACATAATGTCAAGCTGCCTTCTCTGTATTTACATTCACACTCATAGACAAATGCCACTCTCAGTCTTAAAGAATCGTCATAATGATGGTGGTGAAGGCAGAGACACATGGCTGCTCATGATGCTGAGAATAAGTGATGATTGAATGCTCAGTTTAACCAGAACATGGATCCCACACCTTCTAACAATGCAAAGAGAACAGTGCAGAAGAGGAAGCAGAAAGAATGTAAGACCACAAGACAGGGAGAAGGGCTGTGGAATTCCCTCTTCCCAGCATGGCCGTTGCATCCACGACCTCAAAGCAGCAGTGCTGATTGCCAGGGCAATGCTTAAGGCTGGGCCTGTGCCAGATGTCTGTCATAAGTAGGGGTGGGGCCATGTAGCTTTACCTCTTCCTGTTGAACTATGGGGCTACTGCAGGATTCTGGGGTGGGGCAGAACGGTCTTCAGCTGTGCACCTACTGGTCAACCCACCAGGCTCCAGTGAGCACTTTGAAACCCATGGCCACTCAGCCCTAGCTAAACTCAGGGGTAACAATAAAACAGAAAGGCTTGAATGGGAAAGAGACTTGGGGTGGCAATAGGGGCGGGAAGGAGGGAAGAAAGGGTCAGGGAGTCGTCAGAATGCATTATATGTACTATGAAATTATCAGAGACCTACATGAATAGACTACTTAAGAGGAAAATAAGGAATTTTCAATCTCAGGACAGGGAGCTGCCTTCCTAAAGTCCACTCAAATACAACCTGACTCAAACCACCCAGGAGGCCAGGCCAGTGGACTTCTCTCAACTACCATGAAAAAAAAAATCCCAGCCCCT